GCGAAGCGCCGTCCGGCTTGGCCCTCTGGAAGGGGCTGCCACAGGGCTGGCTCCTGGTGTCAGCAGGGTCGCGCACGGGCAGTTTGCGTGGCGGCAGGCAGTAGGTGTGCATGTAGCGGATGAGCTCCACCATCGAGTGCATCTCCCGCTCGCAGGAGAACTGGCTGCCAGTGCTGTCCTCGGAGGAGGAGGGCGGGGTGGTCACGGTGTCACCAGAGCTCAGCGAGTCCTCGCTGGAGTCGCTGTCATCCTCGTGGTGGGCGCAGTCATCCAGGGGCGGGTGGTGGCGGCTGCTCTGACACTCCTCGGGGGCGTGGGCGGCTTTGGCCTGCGCGCAGGTTGCTGCGGACGTGAGGTGCCTGTGCAGCTCCGTGCAGCTCCGGCTCTGCGCCTGCTGGAGGTTTGCCTTCCTGTCCCGGGGACCCTCTGCCTTCAGAGAGGAGAGAGGAGAAACTCAGCCCTGCTGAGCCGCCTGGCACGCAGGCAATCGCTAGGCACAGAGGAAAGAGCCGCCGGGGTAACAACCTGCCCAGCGCTCTCTAACCCCCACCTGCTCCCCAACCTGCGCGCTCACGCCAACAGCACCTGGAGCGCTGAGAGCAGCAAGAGCACGTGCTGGCCTCAGGGCTGGAAAAGAGCCTCCTTCTCACTCCTAGGCCTACAGTCCCTGCGGAACAGGCTGCTTCTCTGAGCCCTTCATCCAGGATGGGCATTTGGGGTTGGGTCATGACTCGCCAGGAGCCCAGGGGGCTGTATGCACTGGGGTTGCACTGGCCTTCTCTAAAAACATGGCAAAGCAACCCTACATGATAAATAACTGATCTGAGTGCATGGACTCATGGGTCAGGCATCCCTGCCCTTTGCTAGCTAACTCTTCTTGACAACCTGTCTTCATGATGGCTTGTCCTGCCCAAACTGTCCATGGGGCAGGTTCCCTCTCCCTGGCATCACGGTGCATCCTAGCCTGCTCTCAAGTCCTGGGATCTCCCAGCCTCCGAGGCAGAGCTACCTGCTCTGTGTCCAAGGGTCTCCTTTGGAGACACAAGCCTGGCAGCAGAGACCACACCAAGTCCTTCCCCATTAGCAGCCTGTACGAAATGATGAGCCTTTTTGGTAGGAGAGTTTTTCTGCTGTTCCCAGGCAATCTAATTTGCTGGGCCTAATGCACTGCACAATTACCATTATCCAAGTAGAAAAATCTTTGATGGCGACTTCTGCTGGATTTCAGGAGATTAGCTTAAGTGACCGGGCTGGGCTCTGTGGTGCTGCATGCTATCTCCTCAGGCTAAGCCTAGCTGATCGATACATGTTTGATTGCAAGTCCTTTGGAGAGGAGGGAATGAGGGGCTGTGAGGGAATGCGAAGGAGTTTCATCAGGCAGTGCTCAGTGACACTGGGAGAGTCCTGACCCCACTCGGTCACAATGAAATCGAAACATTTCTTGAAGGAGAACAAAGCCTGCAGTTTTGCAGAACCTGAGCTGGAAGAAAAGAGAAAGAACTAACAACCCAGCTAAGCCCAAAGCAGAAATGAATACAGCAAAAGTGCTGGGCTGACTGCCTGTGGTGGACCCACATGGAGGCTCTTCCCTCTCCTGCTCCCCAAACACGTTTTTTTCCCTGTAATCAGCATGGGACTTGGCTTTGTCTCTTTTCCTGACAGATGCTCCCCACAGCCCATGGCCACCACTCAGAGGCTGTTCATGCTCCCCTGACACCATCTCTGGTACCGTCCTTCAGGAGGACGGTTTCTGGGCATCGGGAGGATCTCGAGTGTTTCCTGTAGGGCAGGCCCCGGCTCGCCAACATAAGCAAGTACCTTTGCGCAGGGCCGTGTGGGTCTGGACTTAGGGGTCCCCAGGCGCCGGGCGCTCCCATCTCTCTGAGCCTCACAGCTCGGAGGCACATGCGATGGAGAGAGAAGCAACTTCTTCAGCTGCAAAGAGAAGCAGTAAGAAAACAAGTCGGACTTGCAGTGAGAACAAGGCTCATGAGCAGCCCCCAAACGGCAGGATGGTGGCTCGGCTCACGGCCCCCGCAGCCAGAGGGGTCACAGGCCCACAGCTCACACCACCACTGGCCATCTCTCTTACTTTGCATCAGGTTCAGAAAGCAAAAGGAAAAATCAGAGGCAGGGAGGAATGTGTCACACTCCCTGGGTACCCATGGGCTGCAGATCCTGCAGGAACGGGCAGGTACAAGCAGTGCTCGGTGCTCAGGGAATTCAGAGCAGCTGCTGCTGAATTCACCCGCATCTCCAATTAGCAACCCCAGGCAGGCCAGGGGGTGGGAAAATGAGGCACAGGCAAGGGAACTTGCTTCCCAGGACCATCCCCACTCCGATGAGACAAGCTGTGTCTTGGCTTCCAAACTTCTCACTCCATCAATTCTGTCCTTAGGTGACAGAGACTTTACATTTGCATGAGTGACTGATTTGGACAGCTCACTTGGGTCTCTTTGGAAGGCTCATTTAGCTGTAACATGCAAAGAGGGCCCCGATTCATTAATTAGCTTGCAAAGCATCCTGCAGATGCAAGCCCCTGTGGGAAATGCCAAGAATGTATTGAGGATCTTCCCCAACATGATTCTTTCAAGAATTCCACTGTGATCCCTTCGAGAGGGTCGGAGTGGGAATTTTCCTTAGGCTACGCATAGCACAGTTATTTCTGACGGCAAGGCTCGCATAACTTTCTTCTGCTCAGAACTTCTTTTGTTAAAAAAGCACACCCAGCAACAACAGCATTTCTTATTCCACCCATGTTGTGCTAACAACTGAAGGCGACAACAGATCGATAGCAAGACGACAGCATAGGCTCCATGGGGCTGCTCGGAGGAGGCGGATCTAGGGCTTGGTCTCCCGAGCTGCCCTGCAGACTTGGAGACCCCCTCGTCAGGCGCTGGGCTTTTGAAGGAGCCACAGGAATAGGAGGCTCCTGGGCAGGGAAAGCCAGGACACTTCAACAGGCTGCCTGCTGCTTTCCACATGCAGCTCCCGTTGGGATAAGCAACCATCACTGTTCTCCCTCCCCCCCTGTAACGTATACATCCTATATATACACATACATATTGCGTGTGATATATACACCCACCCGCGCGGGCCGTGGGAGGTGGAAATGCACGTTCTCACCACTGGATGTCACTCCTCCCCGCTACAAACCAGGGCTTTTGGGGCAAGACCAGGGGGTCTCTAGGGGGGGACTGTGAGGCACGGGTGCCACCAGGCTGCCGCCTGCCACAGCTGCCCGTGTCCCCAGGGCAGGCTGGATG